GATTTTTACAAAATATATTCCACATATAAAATCTTAAATTTAGTTGTTTTTCTTTTTATTATATACAGTAAATCCATCTTTTTCTCCCCGACAAATGCGAGGTCCTTTCAGGAAAACCTTCCCCTCCGTGGACACATCTCTTCCGGGTCGATGGGGTGTGGACCGGTCCTTTGTAAGGCCCACTCTTCATCTACCATCCCAGAGCCCCACTTTGCTGCGCCCAGATTGGATCCACTGTTTCCTGTATCCCACGTCTTCCTGTACTTGGTTTGTGCCTTCGTTTTGCCAGAAAAAGTTCTCAAGTAGTTTCCAAACACACAATTGCGAAATAGATGTTCTGACTTTGTACATGTCTCCTAGCATCCTGTGCATTATCGTTGAGAAATCTGATCGACCCTGAATTTCATTCGTGGGCACAGAATGGAGCAGATGAGTGATGTAACCCAGACGCAGCCCTTCCAGATGTGTGTGTGGGTGTGCCTAGGGGCTTGGGGGTTGACATGGAGCACATGTATAGAGGCAAGATTAACGGAGGTGTGACCTGAAGGAGGTTGGTTTTAAATTTAGGAAGCATGCAAAGGTGGCCGTCTTTGGTTTTTCCACTCTGCCAAAAGAACCTTACCTTTAGTTTGAGGTCACACCTGCAGAACGGTTTTCAGGGGCATGCTCTCCTACTGACCTGGTCGTATCCATGTTAGTACATAGAGAATATGCTGTTCGCTTCTGTGGTGCCATGCGTAGAGGTACTTGCCGGCTAGACAGATGGAGTATGGCAGGGGACATGGGCAGTCCCCCAGCTGCGTCCAGAGAACCAGTGGTGTGAGCACTGGGTACCAGCATGGCTCAGCTGCAGTGAATGCAGTGAGAAGAACACAGAGATTTGACTGCTGGATGAACATGGGTGATCGCCAAAGAATTCAGTGGAGTTCTAAGTTGCGTTAATGAAGAGACGACCTCCCAGCCAAGGGTGTGAGGGGTCTTGCTCAGCTTTACGATGGGGCAATTCACAACTCGAGTATCTCGTTCTAATCTGGGCATATATTGTTCATTTAGTGAATTTATCACCTTTAAATGTTCATTTCAAATGCCTCTCTCTACATAGCTTTCCTTGACACTTCCTTCATGCATAATTTACTTAATATTTGTTTGGGTTCTTAGTCTTTATTTACTTACCACATTGCTGTAACATACATCTTTCATCTCTGTCAGATTGAGTCCCCAAGGATACTCAGACAAGTCACTTAATCCTTGATTATGGACCTGAAATAGAGGCAGTAGCCTTGGCTACATCTTGTCACTGGGCTTTATAAAGGTCAGATTAGTTGTAGATTATGGTGCTTTACAAACACAAATGGGAGATGGTGTTGCTTCCTGTCCATTTGTCAATGTGATGAATAACAGCCTCAAATTAGCAGCCAGTTAAGCAACTGTTGTCCCTGGCATCTGTGTAGCATCCCCACCCTGATATGTCCTGAATTTCTCAATAGGAAACAAAAGCTTGCTATTTATTCTCTAACCTTCTCACACTGGGACCTTCCTTTTAGCTTATTCTTTTCCCTCTCCTCCTTGAAGTCCTAAAACTTTCACTGCTCAGCGGGGCCGTTGCACAGCTGCGTCGTCTATGACTCCAGAGGCTGAGGATCAGGGCATTGCGCAGGGCTTACCCATGGCAGCCCAGGCTCCCTGGGGCACCAGACATGGCGTGAGTCTGGAATTTGCAGACACGGGTCTTGGGAATTGCACTGCATTTGTACTGAAGTAACCTTTTTGGGTTACTTCAGTACAGAAGTCCTGCTTCCCCTGGTACTGTTCCATTTCTCTCTGCTGCTGTATGATGGGGCTGCTGAACACTGGCTTCCCTCAGTCTGATGGATGTGGCAGGCGTGCTGGTCAAGGTTCTTGCATAGACCCTTGGGGTCTCAACACCAAACTTGACCAAGGATGCTCCGGGCCTAGGGTCCCTCTCCATTTATACTCCTGGGCTTAGGCATTGATCTGAGATCCCAGAAGCACAGAGTCCTGGAAGCTAAACTCGGGGGAGCTCCCAGCATCAGCCACGTGCTGTGCCAAAGCCAGCCCTCTCCAAGGGCCCCTCCCCCACATCCGCTTTTTAAGCCTGGTCTCCCTGCCTGGCTGCCTTTCTTCAAAGCCGTTTTATTCAAGGAACCCTGTCGCCATTTCCTGGGCCTTGGCCTGGGATGTGCAGGACGACCACAGCATGAGTCCTTAGCATCAAGTCTAGGGAACTGGGGTTCGGGTTTCTGTTTCTTTCTTCCAAGAAGCCTCCTTTCCCACAGTGAGCCATCCCTTCCCTCGTGACCAGCTTCACACACCAGAGACCTCAGTCATAAAGGACCTTGCTTCTCCAACCTCCGCACTGTGGGTACCTGCTCCTCCTGGATGTGATTAACAAAGCCACCCCTTAGATGGCTGCATATGGCAAAAAAAAGCTTGGCTTCTTTTGATTAAAATACCGTAACCAGTGTAAATGTGACACAGCCATAGATTACAGGGAATCTGGAGGAGATAGCCTAGATTGGAGAGACGGCCTGGCCATGGGCACACACACAGGTGAACCACGTGCAATTTCCCGGGGCCTTGTGCAAAGGCAGAGGTGTCGAGGAGAGAGCAAGCAGCCGTGCACTCAGGGAAGGAGGCCTGTGAGTCACTCCGGGACACAGCAACTTGCCTGACTCTCTGAGCAACTACCTGTTGTAAGGTCTGTGCACCACGGAGGCAGGTGCTGTGCCGGACAGTCCAGCATCGTTTAGAACAGTGGACCGGGTGACTTTGGAGGATAATATCTCCCAAGTGTGAGACTGCATGAGAAACGAAAAACTGAGGCCGTGAAACGTCCATCTCTGCATGAAACGGCCTCTTAACATCATGGTCGTGCCCAGGATTCGGCATGCTGTGGACACCCACGCGGGGTGTCCCCCTTCAGTCTGCGCCCACACTTATTCTTTCTCCTTAGCCACTGCTGGTGTATTTATCTTCTTTCTCATACTCTGCATTTTCTTCTCATTCCAGCTTTTGAATCGGAAAGACAAGACCACCTTTGAGAAACTGGACTACCTGATGTCGAAAGAAGACAATTACAAGCGGACTCGGGAGTATATCCGAAGCCTGAAGATGGTCCCCAGCATCCCGTATCTAGGTAGGAGTCTGAATCTGCTGATTATTTTTTAAGAAATCTGCTCGGCGCCAAATAAGATGTTTTTACAATTTCTCATTGAGAAGTTTCCAGGAAGCAGCATGGGCCATGGGTAAAGAGGTAATTGATTGATTGGCTCCTTGGATCGAAACAGGCTATTGATTCTTCCCAAGGACAGGGACCTTGATGAGGGCCTTGAAACAAGGGATATCCTGCTTTTCATATAAGTGACGTGTGGTTCAAAGCCTCCCCAGCCTGCAGCCCAGAGCAGTCACAGGCTCTCACTGGTTCATCCACATCCTCCCGAACGGGAGAAACTCAGGCCCCAGCCCCTCTGTTTTGGTTCTCTGGGCATTATTGATATATTTTATAAGGTTTGTACCAACAAAATTATAATAACAATTACTGATTTTTCTGATTAGAAAATAATATACATTCATTGCAAAGAATTAGGACGAGAAGAACATCACTCTAATTGGTAATCCTACCTAGAGATAATCCTGTTTTGCTTCATATCGTTTCATTTATTTAGGTGCATTTAAAATATATGTGTTTATTTTAGTGTGAACGTTTAATGTTATTACCTATGTTTCTATACTATAACTCAGTCCCATCAGACTTGTCAAATACGAACTTACTCTCTAATATGGACATTTTAGTTGTTTTGACATTTTTGCTATTAAAATTTTACAATGAATATCTCTTGCCAAAGCTTCCTGCATATAGTTATGATTATTACCTTACAATGAATTCCTAGAAGTGTGGTTATTGGGTCAAAATGTAAGCTGAATTTTATGCTTTCCGTACATATTCTTAAAATGCTCTCCATAGCGACGTAACGTCTTATACTTTCATTGGAAGGGGCTGAAACTACCTCTTTTCCCTATGTGCTCAAATGCTTTGTATTTTCATGTGCTTTTTTTTCTTTGACTTTCTCTTCTTTTGTCTTTGCCAATTTGATAGGTGAAAAATGCTTCTTGTAGTTTGGGTTTCAGAGTTGTGCTCATTTTATGAAAAAATATTCGTCTGTTTATGATCACAGTGGTATTAACAACAAGGGAAATGACGTTTTTATAGACGTGACTTCTAATACTTTCAGAGATCTAGTGCAATTTTTTGGATTTACGTTTTTGACAACTTTTACATTTCTTCCCTGAGCATTGTTTCCTTAGATTTTCTCAGTCTCTTAAAGCCAATTTGGAAAATTTATTTTTAGTGGAAGATTGTCCATTTGATCCAGGCTTTCAAAATTATTAACATAGAGGTTTTTTCCTCATTTAATTTTTTGACCATAAAGTTTTTCTATGGCACTCTTACAAATTTTGACCTCCTGTGTATGGTTACGTTTGCTTTGTATTCCTAATAGTTTGAATTTCTGTTTTCTCTTTCTTTCTTTAATTTGCTTTACCAGAGGTATGTCTCTTGGTCTTTCCAAAGAATTAGACTTTGTATGTGTTCATGAGCCACATTGTCTTTCTGCTTCTCATTCACTGTATCCCATCCGCCTAGCATGTGCTTATTCTCTCTACACTTTAACACCTCTGAAATTGGGATGCATCTTTCAATGACGGTAACAAAGCATTGTGTGATATTGTTTCAGCGGCAGCAGTGAGACATAAAATAATGGCACATCTTATAATAGAGGACATCCTAAATGTGATGGAATATGGAATTTCCACTTTTGTCTTTTGTAATTCATTTCTCCTGCTTTCCTTAAGTCGTCTTGTTATTTCCGTTCATGACTTCAGTTGAATATTGGTTCATCTGTATATGTATTATTCTTTCCACTTTAATTCGGTAAACACTTAAGGGTGTACATTGTCCTTTAACTGCGGCTTTTGTTACATCCTACGTGTTTTGATATATGGTGTTCACACTCATATTCTTTAAATGTTCTGTAATTATAGTTCCAATTTTTCTTTTATCCAAGGATTATTTAAGGCGGTGGTTTTTTAACTTCCAAGGGCTTGCGTTTTTTTCAAATGGCGTTATCGAGATATGACTAATCCATTTAAAGTGTACCATTCAATAGTTTTTAGTATATTCGCTGAGTTGTGCAACCATCAATTTAGGACACAATTTAGGACATTTTTATCACCCCAAAGAGACACTCCATACCCGTTAGTAGTCACTCCCTTTTTTTTCCCTAGCCACCCCACCCTACTCGCCCACCCTCGGCCCTAGGCAACCACCAGTCTACTTTCTGTCTCCCAGGTATTTGCTTATTCTGGACATTTCCTGTAAACTGAATCATACAGTGTGTGGCCTTTTATGACTAGCTGTATTCCCTTCGCGTCGGGTTTTAAAGCTTCATCCACGTTGGAGCACAATAAGTATTTCATCCCTCCTTATTGCCAAATAACATTCCATGGTATAGGTACACCATTTATCATTTGATGAACATATGAGTTGTTTCACTTTTTGGGTATTATGCATAACACGGCTATGAACGGCTTTGGTTTTTAAACACAGAGTCTTTTCTCTAACTTTTTTACATTGGTTTAGAATGTGTGACATGTGTGCTTTCTAGGTTTTTAAAAAATGTTCGAGATTTGTCTTGTGGTTTAATATCAGATCAGCTTTTGTAAATGTTTCCTGGGTGCTGGGAAAAAAAGGTATAATCTCTCAAATTACTCTGACAATGACATTATCATATTCGAATGATTAATTTTCGACGACTTGGTCTCTCAAGGACGGACGTGTGTGTTAGACTCCCCTTGCGTTTCTGATAGTTTCTGCCCTACGTTATCGAGTATATGGAAGTGTGTGACAGTTGTCGATTCACTGTGAAGTGTCCCCTACAAAATGACTTTGGTTCCTCTTATTATTTGCTTTTACTTTGTTGTTTGCTATCAAGTCTGTGAACTCTGTTTTATTTTCCTTTGCATTCATTTTATAAACCTTTGACTACATTTCGGTTTTTAATAATTTAAATCGCTCTGTTTTAAGCACAGTCTTTGAAAACAGCGTTTAGTCAGACCCGATATGAGAGACCTTGCCTTTAGGAGGGGAGTAAAAGTTTTTCACGTTTGCTTAGTCCTAAGCCATATTACTGAACTGAATATCACCCTGTGCTTTTTTTTTGCGTGTTTTCTCACCCTTTCCTTGTTCTCTTAATGGCCTGCTGTCAACTGCAATGTCTTTCTGCTTGGTGACGGGCAAACTCCCATCTCAGACCCCCGATGGAGGGCATGTCGGTACGCTCAGCTCCCAAGCCCATTTCCGCCTCGCCTGAGGCTAATCGTTTGAGGGGCGAGATGCTGGTATCGGGTGAGGGGAGCCTAGTGCAGTCCGCTGGTTCCACGGGCAGGTGCTCCAGGCTCGTCGACGACGGCTTCTTCTCTCTCGTGAGAGTGGTCAGGAGAGCTGCCACGTATTGTCTGCTTTCTCTGTGGCTGGCACTTTGCTAGGCGTTCTAATGCGTTATCGCAGTGAATGCTCACATAGCCTAGTGAATAAGCAGGTGCTGTGAGGTTGCCTCAGGTCACATAACTGGAAAGTGGCAGAGCCAAGACTTGGCCCAGATGGTCTGGCTTTCGGCCCTACGCTCTTGACACTGCCCTCTTCTGACTCCCCACTTTCACCGTCCAGGTCACTATTTTCCTGCCCCTCCTTCGCAGTCGCCACGCGTACGTCCTCTGCCATTTATGACTTGTGGCTGGCCTCCATCGGGCACTGTATGGAGTGGGATGAATTGTGACACTCTGTTCTTGGACCACAGAGCGGTGCCGTCTTAGGTTTCCAAGGGCATTTATATGTGGGTCTCAGCTAAGAGCGAACTGGACCAATACCACCTCCCCTTTCTGACCGTGTCCCTTGTCATCAGACCAAGCGTGTGCACCCCGGGTCCCCCCACTACTGATGAGTCCTGTCCTCAGGCCACTAGCCGCTTGTGCGTCACCACAGAAGCTTTCGTTAGGCTGCAGGGCAGGTGTGTGCGCTTGCAGCGGACATGTGGCCTGTGCCTGCACTGGGGCCCCTTGCCACCAGCTTTCTGGACAGATGCAGCCCTTGTCCTTGATCACCTCATCTCAGCTGCCTCTTCCTGGCAGGCGCCTCTCGCGAGACTCCGTGGAGGCCTCCGTCCTCCTACAGGGCCCTCCTGCTTCCACCCCTGAGCGAGCCCAGCTTAACTGCCATGCTGCTTTTCCCCCGGCTTTACAGTGACTTCCCTCTCCCCTTAGGCCAGTTGGGCTGCATTTCTCCTGTCTGAATGACTCCTGACATAGACAAATCAGAGCCAAAGAACTGGATGGCCCCTCCTGTTCTCGGGACAGTCCGTGAGGGTTTCCTGTGGAGGCGTCATCGTTTCATTTAAAAGAGCGAAGCAAGATCCCATTCTGAGGCTCGGTGGGGCCATCTGTCCTGGGGCAGCTCGGGGCCCTCCCTGCCCGTCTGCCTGCCGTGGACAGGCGCTGCCCAGATCCAGCTTGCCTTTTCAGTCCTGATTCCTCTTGTAAGCCCAACCTGTCCCGGACGGATTTGTTTATCAAAAGACGAATAGTTACATAATTCCTGGAAAGTACAGCGGAGGGGAAAATGTCTGAAACCACTTTCCCCCCTGGCACAGTCCTCACCGTGAGCCCCTCCCCGGGGGAGAGGAGCGTTGTTAAGTCGGCCGCCTCGGATTCTCCAGCTGCTCTGTTGGTCCCACTGCTTGAGACCTGGAGTGCTGTGTTAGCACTCAATATGCCCCTAATAGCAAGAATCTTTTAAACCTCTGTGGACAGTTCTATGCCGACTGGTTTCCTGGGACCACTCACATGTGTGTCTCTCACTCCATGTAATGATGCCCTCACATAGTACCAGCACTCGTCACTAACCGCCTAGGTGTATATGCCAACTCACTTCAGTACAAATTTTGTGCATTGAAAACTTTGACATGCTGGGTTCTCATGAGATAAAATTTAAAAAACACCGAGCGAAAAACTACACTTAAAAATTCAGACTCTCTCGCTATCAAAAGCTTGCTTTTCGGTTACTTCTAAGTGTAAAAATGGTGG